CTGTATTTATAGCCCACAGCTTCCTGTTGGCACAAAGCAAGAGACTCAATGAAAGCTTGTTGACTAATAAAAGAAAAATAATTAAATTAAAAAAAAAATCCCTTCTGAGTATAAGTTAAACTATTCCTACCAGAGCTTTCATTTTTGGGTACCAATATAAAGTAATAATGCTTGAAAATACCTAACTGACTGCTCCTGGACACCTCCATTTCCATGCCTCCTGCTGTAAGCAAAGATAGAATCCAAGAGGTAACCAATTCTCACTCCCCAAAGAGAAGCTATGGACATCAGATATTGATGTTAGCTGTCTGAAACTTGAGTTTAGCTGGTTGGAATGTGACACTAACAAGCTGAAGTCAATTACAATCACAATGCTCTCTGTTTTAGATGACACAACTAAATTAGATGGGCTATATCATAATTGTGTCACCAGTCAAAATAAAATCCAGTTAAAAAAGATATGTGTATTTCAGACAAAACTAACCAAAGTTTCTGGAAATGGAACTTAGTGCATTACTTCCTGAGGAATTAATTCCCTTTGTGATCTCTTTTCTGCCTTTTGGTCCTCCAGTCCTTTCCCTTTTCCTCAATGCCTTCATTCAGACTTCTAGTTGCATCAAACTGCTCACAACCTCTTCAACATGGACTGGCATCCTCTAAATTCTCCTCACTCAATCCCATTTTCTTACAGCATTTGCTATGTTCCTGTTACACTACAGTATATTCAATGTTAAAGAATTCTGACATATTAAAGTTACGATTTTTACAAACCACTCAACTCAAGAGGAGTAGCTACTCAGAAAAGGAATGATTACGGTAATAAACTTTCTAGAAACGAGTGACTAAGAACAGACCTAGGGATATTTCAATCCTCTGTGAGCCCCAAACTGAATGAATAGCAAATGTGTTTCTCTGACTAGAAATAAGAACTCAAGAAGAGCATTTTCTGATCAAGAAATCTTAACAAATTTTTAACTATGTAAATGAGGAGAGCCGACCCTTACTGAGTTCAAGTTGCCTCCTAATTGGTCTCCTTGCTATCACTGTCACTGTGAACTACACTATACCTTTGACACCAAGCCACTCACACAGGTCTCAGAGAGGTCTTCCTAAAAGAACAAATTTTATCACAGCATATGCTTTCCATGGCTCCCTATCATGACATGATAAAGTCCATATTCTTGGCATAATATTAAAGGTCCCTCATAATCTAGCATTTACTTACCTCTTAGGTCATCTCTAGGCAGGCACAAGCAAACACACCTCCTATTCAAACTTACCAAGCTTGCACCTGCCTCTTTGTCAAAACATTTATCACGCTGTAATATAAGAACTTTGTCATTTGCCTGCTTTCCCTTTTAGACTATTAGCTCTTAGAGGACAAGAAACTTGCCCTATTCACCTTTGTATCTCCTGGCATTGTGTCTAGCATATAATAAACATGTGATGGAATAAAGGGCTCCTACTATGAATTCTTTAGAGGTAGAGACTATCTCTTTTCAGCTCTGTAACTATCACCTGACACAATGCCAGGAGTTTATCAGGGGCTGAGTAAATATTTTCTTTCTTTCACTGATCCATTGCCTTAATGTATTCAACAAATATTTGAGTGCCTACTATGTGCTAAGTACTATACTTGATTAGAACTTTTGTGATTGCTTCAGAAATCAGACAATATAAAATGTACATTTAGAATATATACTAGAGTCATGCTCATTTTAATGTCTTTTTGTGTGTCGTTCAGTTTCTTTGTTCCACTTAATTTTCTGTGCTGAGTTGTTTTTAAGTATTTTCTTTTCATCTTTTTCACTGTTGTTGATTTTGTGTTTGCTGAATCGTTTATATTTTTCTAGACTTGTAGGATTGTTAGTTTCCTTTGAGGTTACCTTAATATTTACCCTTATTTTTCTAAGTTTATACCAGTCTTTTATTTCTTTATACCGCCTTGACTTCCTCTCCATATGAAAAATCTATGTCTACATCTTTTAAGCCCCTCTTTTTTGTTTTACTGTTGTCATCTTTTACATATTGACATCTGTTTCCCTATTTTCAGTGTTTTAGCTTTGATTTACTTTTGTGACTCCCCTACCTGGGTTGATATCTGGTTGCTCTGTCCTGTGTTCTAGTCTTGGTTTGCTATCTGATGTTACTGATTTTCTAACTGAAGGACTCCCTTTAGTATTTGTTGTAATTTCGGTTTGGTTTTTTCAAATTCCCTAAACTTCTGTTTATCTGGAAATGCCCTAATTTCGCCATCATATTTGAGAGACAGTTTTGCTGGATACATAATTCTTGGCTGGCAGTTTTTTTCCATCAAGGCTTTATATATGTCATCCCATTGCCTTCTTGCCTGCATGTTTTCTGCTGAGTAGTCTGAGCTTATTCTTATTGACTCTCTTTGTAAATGATTTTTCGTCTCTCTAGTTGCTCTTAAAATTCTCTATCTTTGGTTTTGGCAAGTTTGATTATAATATGTCTTGGTAACTTTCTTTTGGGATCTACCTTATGTGGGGTTCGATGAGCATCTTGGATAGATATCTTGTCATCTTTCACGATATCAGGGAAGTTTTCTGCCAACAAATCTTCAACAATTCTCTCTGTAGTTCCTGTTATCCCCTCCAATCACTCATAGGTCATTCCTCTTGATACAGTCCTACATAATTCTTAGGGTTTCTTCATTTTTTAAAATCCTTTTATCTGATTTTTCCTCAAGTAAATTGGTGTCAAGTGCTTTATCTTCAATCTCACTAATTCTGACTGCCATTGCCTCAACTCTGCTCTTATGACTTTCTATTGAGTTGTCTAATTCTGACATTTTATTGTTAATCTTCTGGATTTCTGATTGCTGTCTCTCTAGGATTCTTGCAACCTGTTAAATTTGTCATTATGCTCTTCTCTAATCTTTTTAATTTCCTCTATTGCATGTTCTGCATTTTGATTAATTTCCTTCCTAATTTCTTGAAGAGTTCTGTATATTAATCTTTTGTATTCTGCCTCTGGTAATTCCAAGAAATTTTCCTCCTCTGGAAAATTTCTAGATTCTTTATTTTGGGAGCTGGCTGAAGCCATCATGGATTGCCTATTTATGCGATTTGATACTGACTGTTGTCTCCAAGCCATCACTAAGTTACTATATTTATTTATTTTATGTTTGCTTACTGTGTCCTAGCCTCGTTTTCTTTTGATATGCTCAAATAGGCTGCTTGTATGAGCCAGTTTGATTATTGGCACCCTTGAAGCTCTGATGTCCTGTCACTAGGCGGTTAGATCTGTTAGTAGGTATGTGAGCTCAGGAGTCTGCCCACTTCTCCTGCATGGATTCAGCTCAGGTGCCCAGGTAGATAGCCACCGAGTGTGTGGTGTAGGCTCTCACTTACAGTCCTAGACAGGCATAGGCATCTGGCTGCAGCAGGGGGACACACTCTGAGCAAGGCAGGCGGATGATGGCAGCCCTCAAGCGTCCAGGAGGAAGGCGTGTCCCTGTTCCCTAGAGTGTGTAGGTGGGTGGGTTTTGCAGCCAGACTATGAGCAGCTAATTCTGTTGGCTCTAAGGACTGAGGGGCACCTCTTATTCATGGGCCTCTATCACAGGTGGCTAGGTGGTGTGGGTGGAGCCACCAGTCCTCAGGCCCCTGATGTGGGTAGGTGAAGACCTTGCTTAATGGGCAAAGAACCTGCCACTTCACAGCTGAAACAGTTGAAGTTAGACTTCTGGTATATATCCTGTTGTACTGCAGTAATGAGGGCCTAAGCTGTTGAGATGGGCCCACACAAGTCTATGCAGGGGGAAAGGCACTCAAAGTCTGTGGATCCCTTATGCCTGTGCCTAGGCAATGGAGCTGTGTCTGCCCTGGGTTCCTGGCTTAGGGGAGCTGGCAGTTTATTTTTTCACGTTTGTTAATTTGCTCACTCTCCAAGGCAGGGAGAATGGCTCCGGGCATATGACGGATCCTACTTCCGGCCCAGGGGACTCGGCAATTGCTGAAGCCGGTCCGGGACCCAGTGCAGAGCAGGGAGTGGGGAGGTAAATGGGAGAGAGGTTTTTCCCTAAGAGGGGTGTTTTTGATCTGTGCGGTAAGTCATACGCAATTACTTATCTTTCGCTGATGAGGGCTGCTTCTCACTGGTTCTGAGTGGCCATGTAGACTCTCCGGTACTGGGTCTCTCCTGGTGCTGAAAATGTGCCTCCTGAGCACCGCCTCTTGCTTGCCTCACTGCTCACCCCTGAGCTGATTAGGCCTGAAGGGCTCAGGCTCTCGCTGGGTCAGGTCTGGCAGCTCCTCATTGCTTCCGAACCATCTCTCCCTCCCCCTCCCACTCAGTCTGGTTCCTCAACTTTGCCTTTGATGTTCAGGGCTCCCAGATTGCCATATATAATTGAATCACTTGTTTTTTTGGGTCTTTGTTGTAAGAGCATCCACCGAAATCATCTGACTACTCCACCATCTTGGCCCTGCCTCCCCCTATATACTAGAGTCATTCTCAATCATGAACTTGAATGGACTGATTTCATCAGTATTTTACAGATCTTAATTTACATTTAATATCTTGAGATTTTACTTAGTTTTGGTGATATCCCATTTTGGAAATGGAAAACTTTACAATTCAAGACGGAGTAAACACTGCTAGAAAGGGAAAGATAATTAAAACCAAAACTGGTAGCAATGAATGTGTCCCAAGATTTAAGGTGTCCAAATTTGCAGATGAGAAGAATGAAAATGGACCAAAAATAGAGAAAACCAGATTCCATAAGATGAAATCTGACAGTCTTCTCTAAAATAGGTTAATGGAAGAATATATACCAAATCTAACAGTGGTAACCTCATGCAAGTGAGGAGAGACAGTTAGAATTTATTCTTTTGCATTAATGTACTGCTTAAATTTTTTCTGATTCACTAGTTGTATTTAAAAAAACAAAATCTACCCAACCTCCCATACTCCCAAAATAAAAAAACAGTCAATATGAAAATTCCTATATGACTCTGACCAGTATTACCTACCTAAACAGTTTTGGAGGCAAGATACTAAATCGTGTTTTATCCAAAATTTTCCTGATTTTGTTTCTTCCACCTGAAACAGTATTTGCTTTAACTTTCTTATTTCCTTTCTCCTGTGATGTCTGCTCAATATCTCCTGGTACATCCTGGATTGAATGGCGATTACTTTTTTTTTCAGCAATTTTGGGAATATGAGGAACACCAGCTTTTTCCTGCTCAGTCCTACTAAGTAATTCCTTGAACACTGTGGAAATAAATAAATAAATGACACTTGTCATTTCTTTTCCTCTCGGAAAGTTTTTTACCAACAAAAAATTTGAAAGATAAATACAGTTGCTATTACTTGGTCTTTTGCAGCCCCATTCATTAAACATTATCAAATTTATACTCACCCTTTATCAGTTTTCTTCTGTTTTTACACCTGACTAAACCAGAAGTTTAAACCAGATTGAAAAGAAAATGTGGAATAAGGAATATCATTGCTGTTATCAGATGGATCTTTACCAAAATCAAAGAATACCAGAAAGATTTTACCTGTGTTTATCAACTTTCATGTAGATCATAACAAATTACGGATAACATTATGAAGAATGGGAATTCCAGAATACCTAACTGTGCTCATATGGAACCCATACATGGATCAAGGGGCAGTTGTTCAAACAGAACAAGGGGCCACTGCGTGGTTCAAAACTGGCAAAGTGGCTTGGTTGTAATCTTTTCACTTTATTTATTCAATCTGTATGCTGAACAAATAATCTGAGAAACAGGAGTATGTGAAAAATAATGCAGCATCAGGACTGGAGGAAGATTCATTAACAACCTGCTACATACAGATGAAACAACCTTGCTTGCCGAAAATGAAGATGATTTGAAGCTCTTACTGATGAAGGTCAAAGACTACAGCCTGCAGTATGGATTATGCCTGAACATGAAGAACACAAAAATCCTAACAACTGGACCAGTAAACATCATCATAAAATGGAGAAAAAATTGAAGCCGTTAATAATTTCATTCTACTTGGATCAATAATCAATGTCTACGGAAGCAGAGTCAAGAAATCAACATATTGTATTGGGAAAGTCTGTTGCAAAAGACCTCTATAAAGCTTTAAAAGCAATGTCACTTTGATGACTAAGGTGTGCCTGACCCAAGCCATGGTCTTTTCAATCACCTTACATGCATGTGAAAGCTGGATAATGAAAAAGGAAGATAAGAGAAGAATTGATGCATTCAAATTGTGGTGTTGGCAAAGAATACTGAATATACCTTGACTGTCAAAAGTCTTAGAAGAAATACAACCAAAATGCTCCTTAGAAGCGATGATGGTGACTTTGTCTTACTTACTTTGGACATATCATCATGAAAGAGCAATCACTAGAAAAGGACATCACATTTAGTAGGTCAGCGAAAATGAGGGAAACCCTGAATGAGATGGACTGACACAATACCTACAAAAAATGGACTAAAACATATTAATGATCATGAAGATGGTGTAGGCCCGGACAACATTTCATTCTGTCATACATAAAGTTGCCATGAGTCAGAGGGGACTCAGAGGCAACTAACAACAACATACTTCTGATGTTGCCAAATGATGATAAAAGGAAGTCACGTGGAAAAACGAGAAAAAAGGGAGTGGGCTGTCAGCACGTTTGAAAAGTTCAGGGTTTCCTATTTAGCTAATTTTTATCAATTCAAAGTTTATAGAAATAAATATTTTTTATTATTTATGTGATATTCCTTATTATATTGTGATTAGTTGAGATGAGGTTTTAAGTAGTATAGTCAGGCTCAATTCTGCAAAATTTAGCCATTAAAAATATGGGGAGAACTTTGTTGAACCTGTTTTTACCAGAAATAAATAGTACTAAATTTGGTAATATATGACAATTTCCTCAAGGTCATGTTTATAAGGCTTATGTTACTTAGTAAAGCAGTTACTGACTATTCACTACAGCGGTCTGAAATAATTTATTATACCTTACTTTCCTAACAACCCTAAGACTGGTGAATTACTTCATCCTTAATTAGGGCACAGGCACATTTGGAGACTTGCATGTCGAGCAATCTCTTTGCCTAGACCTTATTTCACCTTGTGAGAGGGACTAGATATCCCTGGGATCAGGAGAAAGAAGGATAAATCTGTATAAGGCTATGTATCTAGAAAGTACTAGTGTCTCATTTTCCAGTTAGGAAAATCTGTATCACCTACTTTTCATTAAGTAATGTCACGTAAAGAAGTTTTTTTTATTGTTGTTTTAAATGTGTTCTTAAATAATACAGATAGACTTCTAGGGGAAAAAACCCACTAAGAATACATATGCTAAAGCAGAAGATAAGTTTCTTGGAAAGTTATGGCACCTGGGGGAGTCTGAGCAAAAGAGAAGTGGTAGTTGCATATTCTTGAGAACAGATTTTAAAGGTTTTCAGCCACATGAGCTGTAAAGCCAAACACTCAGCTTATTATTAGGTATAGCTCTCAGCAGTATACTTTGCACCTTTTTAGAAGAAAAACTGTACTTGTATAAATGTACCCACTGAAAACTCACCCACATAAAATTGTGATCTTCTCTGTTGTTTTGGGGATGAAAGAAAGCAATGGTTTCCCACAACATCAAAAAATTTATGAGAAAGATTCAAATGGAAAAACCCTTAAGAACTGAGCTAGTACAACGAAAATAGTTTGGTATTCAGCTGTAAAATCTGTCTCATTTAGAGGGCTTTAACCAGAAGGATGACACTATATTACCAAATCCATTGCAAGCTTGTGAAAAGCGCATTATTTTTTTGCCTTCAAAATACTGGGGATCCTTAGGGGTTGCCTTTCAAAGATATCCTGCTAAATTTCTTTCATTTTCTATTTTATAATTTCACTTTATTTTAAAGCACATGGTAAAGACTGAAATAATTTTTGGAGCTAAAATCAAGATCTTCATTTAGAAAGTATTACCAAACTAGGATGGTACAAACAGTTAAGCACTTGCACCTCAGAAAAAGGCCTGGTGATCTGCTTCCAAAAGGTCACTGCCTTGAAAATCCTATACAGCAGTCTTATTGTGCAACATATCGTGTCTCCATGAGTTGGAATAGACTCAACAGCAACTAACAATAATAACAACATGAATATATGATGCCAGGCACTACATTAGATGTTTGCAGATTCATCATTTGGAGAACTTAGTCTGTCTAAGATACATGGTAGAGAGAATATAACCAGAGGAACTAATTTAGATGGTAGGAAAGGGGAGATCTTCTTCAAGTAAATCACCTTTTAAGAAGAGATCAGAAAGATGAGTAGATTTTGACTAGGGAAAGACAAGGGAAGGAGGAATGATTCCAGGTATAGGGAATCTCAAGTTCAAAGTCCTGGTGGTAGAAGGAAGATGGCTAGACTGCAGAGAACAAAATACAGTGTGGTGAGTGAAAAGGTCAGATGATACTATGGTAAGGTTTTTGAATCTTCTCTTAAGACCAAAAGGAAATCTTTGAAGGGTTGGGGACAGAAGATCTCCCTGATTGCAGTGTAAGGTGATTCAATAGTTTACATAATAGTTTGTATCTTCACTAGACTTGTGTACATAATTCAAAATTTGTGAGCATGTGATTTTTTTAGATACAGAAGAAAAATGACTGTTGAAAAACTAGTTAAGGACAAAATTTAAAGGATGGTGAACAACTGTAATTACAACACCATTAATGGCAATATTGGAGACCTGGTGACACAGTGGTTAAGAGCTATGGCTGCAACCCAAAAGGCTGGCAGTTCAAATCCACCAGTCACTCCTTGGAAACCTATGGGGCAGTTCTACTCTGTCCTATAGGGTCTATAGGGTCTCTATGAGTTGGAATCGACTCGACGGCAATAGTTTTTTTTTTTTTTTAATGGCAATATCAGATATAATACAAGAATCAGAAACGAAGGTACCCAAGAATCCACAAAAGCTTAATAAATTTGACTACATAAAGATTAAAAATTTCTCTTTACACATATGTATATGTATGTATGTACACACATACATATTCGTGTGTGTATATGTATAAAAAAACAAGAAAAGTCAAAAGACAACTTGGGAAAAAATATTTGCAACCCTTAAAACAAAAAGTTACTTTCTTTTATTTATAAAGTGCTCAAACAAATCAATAAAAGATGAATAACTGAGTATTAAAATGGGCAAATGAAATTAAAAGACAGTTTATACAAAAGACCTCATTCATAATTAAAGAAATGTAAATAAATAATTAAAAAGTTGATTATACCCAACATGGAGCCTCACACAACTTTTGGAAAGAAAAACTTTGCAGTATCTGTCAAAAGTAATTCCATTTTGAGAAATTTGTCCTATAGGTATATCTATGTAGGCATAAAAGATAATTACAAAGGATTTTTATTACACTACTGTTAATAGCAAATACCGTAAACACAAATATGACATTAGCTCAACAGATTATGGTAATAATGCAATGAAATTCTATGCAACAATAATTATATAACAACGAAGAAGGTCTGTAGAGACTGATGTGGAAAGGTCCTATATGGCTCTATCATGTATCTTTTAGTATTTTCATTTTCAAAATATATGCATGTATTATTTTTATTAAAAATATGTGTTAATAATGAGTTATCTGAGGGATGAGATTTTTAAAGATGTCAGAAAGTTGTAAAAAGGAATAAATGAACTAAAATTCCAGAGAGGGAAGAGTGAGCTGAGATTGCAAGCTGTTTTCATCTCTGGTGGCATTTGCTGAGTCTAAACATGAGGTGTGGATCAGTCAGAGAACTCTACTAGGGGAAGAGAACGTTTGTCGGCTGTGAAGGCTGGCATGAAAACTGCAATACAGAGAAGCCCAAAAGCAGTGCTGGTTTTCTCCAGGGGACGTCTGCTTTTAGTAGGACAATGCAGGAGGCTGGGGGACTGGCTGGAAATTTCCCACTGTCTTCTGATGCTTAACAGACAGTGCTGCACAACAGGGAGGGGCTTGTAATAAATACAAAACAGATTTAGGCTTCAACCTGCTTGGGGTGGTAGGTAAGGAGCTAAGTTCAAAATTACTGAAGAGCAGAAGTTACATAAAAGAGGAGACAGAAACCTACCAGACTTTGAATCAGAAGCCATGCCTGAGGTGGGACTAGGGAGAGGGTAGGACAAGATAGAGCGAAATTTCCCACAATCTCTTGGTGCTTAGGAGACAAAGTTTCACCTGTGGAGGGGCCTACAGCAAGAACATGACAAGCCTTTCTATCGACCTGAAATCACTGGACACAGCCTAAATAATTCTGCAACCCAGCTTGACCCAGCTCAATTCCCCTTATCCTATCTGCTTAAACAGAGGAAATGAGAAATCTTCTCTTGAGAAAAAATATTAATTTCATTCTCTAAGTTATACACAATGTCTAGTATACAATAAAAATTTATGAGACACACAAAACATAGATACAATGTCTATATGACTGATAATGAAGGAGAAAAGTAGATTAAGAAAAATCATCCAAATGTTGGAGTTAGGAGACAGGATTTTATAGTAACCATCATAAATATGTTAAAGAAAATAGAGGAAAAGAAAGATAATGGATGAAAAGATGGAGAAGTATAACAGAGGACTGGAGGCTACAAAAAAGATTCAAACGGATATTCTAGATCTGAAAGATTAAATATCTAAAATTAAACTCGTTGAATGGGTTTAACTACAGAAGAAAACAGGATTAATTTGCTCAAAAACAGGTCATTACAAATACCAAACTGAAGCACAAAGAGAAAAAAAAATTGGAAAGAATAAGACAGACTAAGAAATATACAAGATACAAATGGTCTAACATATGAGTAACTGGTCTTCCAGATGGAATGGAGACAGAGAAAGGGCAAATGCAATATTTGAAGCAAAAATGGCCAAGAAATTTCTAAAACTGATGAAAGACATCAATGCACAAATTAAAAAACTCAGCAAACCCCAAACAAAAACAAATACAAAGAACACCGTGACAAGGGATAGCCTGTTAAAAGTTAAAACTGCTCTGAGTCCTGTTTATATCCTATGGAGAATGCTTTTTTTTTTTTGGTCTTGTGTGGCCTGTGGCTCCAATGTTCAGTTTGCTTGACTCTGTATTTGAAAAAATTATTTTTAGAAATAATTTGAGACCTAGATTGCTATTACCATCCTCTACTGAGGATTTTTATATTCTTTTGCCAGGCACCTGAGGGTGCTCATGGTCCAGGGCCATGGCCAAAGCTTGACATTTTTCTGGGTAGCTAGGGGAGGTAGCTCTTAGCGACCCTATAGACTCATAGTGACCCTACAGGACAGAGTAAAACTGCCCCATAGGGTTCTAATGAGCAGCTGGTGGATTCGAACTGCTGACCTTTGTGTTAGCAGCTGAACACTTAACCACTACACCACTGGAATCGACTTGCTGGCAATGGGTTTGGTTTGGTTTGTAGAGGAGGTGGCTAGAGTACAATCCACATCCATATCAGAGTAAGCCTTTCAAAGGTTGTTATGCTAGGGTCTCCTGGGCTTTTGGCAAGTGGCTCCTTCTCTCAGCTACATTCTACGGATGGGAAAATGGCCCTGGAAAGAAAGAGACATCCCTTTGAGGTACAGTCACAAAAGGGGAGAAGAGATTAGACATATCAGGAATTGTGCTCCTAGCAACTGCAGGACTCCAACCTTTTTACATTTTTCTGGGAGTTTACTGCCGAAAGACGCTCAGTGTCGGAGTTGTCTTTTCTGTACTGGTAAATGCCCCAGGGTAGACAGGGCTCAAGTCACCTCTTTGAGGTCAAATTTCCTCTCTGTTTTATGTTAGGTAGTTCTTGCTAGTAGCTACTTTTTATACCTGGTCTAGCTGTTTTACTTGTCTTCAGTCAAAACCAGAAATAGAAAGTTGATACAGACATGTTTTAAATTTGCTTTGCTCAGAATTCAGTGGGATCTTTGAATCTGAAGGGTCACATGCTTCTTTCACTTTGAGATAGTTTCTGCTGTTATTTCTTTTTATTTTATTATGGCAAAACTGCTATTATTTCTTTAATATGTCCCCCCCCCCTTTTTTGGTAGATCTCCAGGAGTAGTGCTCAATTTATTTTATATTTTTGTTCTATAGTTTGGGATATTTCCCCAACTTTATTATCTACTGCTCCTATTGAATATTTCAGTCTTTGCTACCATATTTTAAGTCACTCTAACAGCTACTTCTTTCTTAATGATTGTTTCTTTTTTTCCTAACATCCTGTTCTTGTTTTAAAGGATGAATTTCAAATCTCTCAGAGTTCTAAAATCTTTTTTCTTCTTTTCCCTAAATTACAATTTTTCCAGAATCTGTAAGCTCACTTATTAGGTCCCCTCACCCCTTCTAAAATACCCTGGCTCCCTTATGCCGGTGATCTCTGGTTGTCAGTTTTAATTAACATAAAAAGACCAAGCAGGTTGCTCTGTATCATCTAAAAAGATCTGTCTTCTGGTCACAGCTTTCTTTTTTGTAGGCATTCTGTCTGGGAGTTCCATGTAGCATGACTAATTGCTCAACTCTGCTTTATGGAAATGCCAGTTACCATGGCCAGAGTTAATAGGGCTTTATTGTGGGGCATCACACCCCAGACTATAATGTACTACTTCTACAAATGCTTCATTAATATTCCTTTGAGATACTCTTTGGTGTTTTGCTTGGGGTGAATGCTGGCTGTCTGCACTCTACCTGGGGTTAAGGAAGAAGGTAATGACTGACAGGGTCCCCCCTTTTGACACCATTTAACTCCTGCTCTCTGCCACATTCATTCTAGGGTTCTGTTGGGCGGTTGTTTCTTACCACTCAAAGGGTCCTGATGGTATGGCTTCTCTGCCTTTGCATCCCTCAGACCTACTTTTTCTGTCTCCCAGAATCCATGTGTTAACCACTACATTATGCTACATCTATGTTTTATATATAATAATATTTGATACCAGTCAGTAAATATTATGTGGCAGGCACAAACGGTTTAAAGGTATTTAATCCTTACAAGAATCCTAAGAAATAAAGTTGGAGAAACTGAGGCGTAGAGAGACAAAATATCTTGCCCAACATGACAGAGCAAGCTTTGCTTTCATATTTTTCAAAATCTGAATCCTTTTTAATCCAGAACTTGACATTTCCAGATACTAGTCCAAATTCCAGGAAACCCAGTAACTGTGAAGGCTTACTGACTTATTCTAGGCTAAAGTAATATAGCATTAGGAAAGGCTCACTAGATTTAACATGATGTACATTTTAGTCAAAGGAACTCATGTGAAAAGAGGAAAAATACCAAGTGTCTTAGGTTTTCATTATGACTAAGTACAGTCAAGGAGAAGCCTAAGTAAGAAAAACAAAACTTATACTTCCTTTCCATAGACATACCTTTTAAAGTCAATTCTTACTTCTCAAATGGCAACCAAACTGACCTAGAGAAATTTTTTTCTTCCATACTTGTTAAAAACTCTTAAACTTTGATAGTTTTCAATTGTTTCACTGTTTTAACTGTTGCCCTTCTCAAAATCTCAGAGAAATTCCTATGGTGTCTATGAAACAATTATAGAAAGACTTTCCTAAAAGTTTAAAAACATAAAGAGATGTAGTAAAAGCTTAGCTCTTGCTTTATTTAAGTATAAACATGATCAAAACATGATATAGGCACAGTAATCAACATTTTTACACAGAAAGGTAGTGTATGTTGTTATTAGAAATCTGTAATATATTGGTTACTTAATTCAGTGTTTTACTAAATTCATTTATTTCCATGAAACAGCTAATCAGCATTCATATTATTATTTCAGGAGATTAGCTTAAAGATTAGAAATTGACTGATTTGCACATTAGCAGGGGGGAAAAAAAAAGCCTGATCATGACTTCTAAGTTTCATTCAGCATACCTCTAGCAGAATACATAATAAATGTTCAACAGACATTTCTTAAATGATTGAGTGTAGCTGTACATGTATTTTTAAAACTTATTTATTAATAAGATATCAAAATAATAATCAAATACAAATAAAAAATGAAAACTCTAGAATATGCAATTGTATAGCTCAATACTAAAGATCCTAAAAAGGTTCAAATTGCTCAGATAAAAACATGTTTACATTTTATTATCACATCTTTCACTATAATAATTTTTCTCTTTTCTATCACAAAAAAGCTCAGTTTTTACAACGAAACTCACCAAAAATGTTGGTCTTTACAGTAAGCGCAAGATGAGTATTATTCCTCAAAATTTCAAGTGCCTTCACAAATGTAATGTTCTCAAAGTTTTGTCCATTTACTTCCATTATCTTAAAAGAAAAGTATTTGAAAAATAAAAATGAAAACAAATAGTACTGGTTACTTTTATAACTTTAAAAGTTTAATGGTTAAAAAATTCAATGAAACTTCAATAAAATGCACCCATATGTGAACAATGGTTATCTCTCTAAGAAGCGGGATTACTGCTGATTTTATTTTTTTCTCTACATTGTGTTAGTTCCCAAATTCTTTACTATAACAATTTTTTTAAATGATCATTTCTTCTGGGGTCATATTAAAGAAGTTTTTTTTTTTTTTTATGTAAGATGGTTTATACATGAAATAAAAATTTTAATCATGTCAGATCAGCTCGCAAAAATTACTGCCTATGTGTGTATGTACAAATTTTAGTGAAATATTCTAAATGTAAATTTATTTCATTTCAAAGAAAGGTAATTCATTTAAAAGGGTACTCTAGATACATTATAGAGGAGCCCTGGTGGCAGAGTGGTTAAGAGCTCGGCTGCCAACTGAAAGGTCAGTAGTTCAAACCTACCAGCTGCTCCATGGGAGAAAGATGTGGCAGTCTGTTTCCATAAAGATTTACAGCCTTGGAAGCCCTATGGGGCAGTTCTACTCTGTCCTATAGGGTTGCTAGGAGTCAGAAACAACTTGATGGCAAAGGGTACTGGTTTAGATACATTAATATCATTTTCCCACCTTCCCCCCACCCCCTCCCATCACTAATTTAATCAGGAAGTCAAACAGCAACAAGCACAAATGAAATGAGTTCTTCCACATGAACACTGCTGATCCTTCGTAACAGGGCTTCCCAAAACTAAACATGCTATAGTTCAGAATCATACAGGAAGCTTACTAAAAAATGTACTGATGCTAAGGAAAAGGATTAAGAGATAAACATGATGACCAAAAAAACAGCATATAGAGCAGACCTAGGGGATCAATATAGAAATTCCAAAAGAACTGAGAAAAAAAGAAACAAAAAATTTAGAAAAGAAGAAAAAAAGCATATTAGTAAAATTCCCAGAGCTGAAAAGATTGAAGTCTACATACTGAATTTTGGCACATGTAGTAGCATGCAAAAATAATAAAAAGAAACTTTAAAAAACATATCTTAGTGAAATTTTTGAACTCCAGAGACAGGAAGCAAAGAATCCCTAAGCATTAATGTGAGGGGAAAAAAACCAAAGTTACCTACAAAAGAAAGATAAAGGTAGGTCTGGACTTCTGGGCAACACTAAGATGATGGGACACTTTTCTCTGACTACAAAGTTCTGAGGGAAAAATCACTGTGATCAAATAATTTTATACTCCACTGAACAAAAACACATTAAGACATTATCAGACATGAAAAGATATCTAAAAATACAGTACCTGCTTGTCTTAAAAACAAAAAAACTGTAAGCACTCCAGCCAACTGTGAAACGAATCAAAATAATGGAGAGATAAGGCTTAGATGATACGGAGGTGGCTGAATGAATCAGTAAGGCAGGTGTAAATGTTTAAATGATTGTCAGAAATAAGCTTATGAAACAATGTAAATGTCAATAGTATTCTGGAAAGAAAAGATACACAAAAAAGGGACAATAATCATCTAGAGCTAAAAGGTCTCACAACATTTCAACAATAGTTGGGAGGATTAAGGGAAGTAAAAGCATGATAAATTTTGTGTTTTAGGAAGAGATCATGGGATTTCATTGTTTTTCTGTGAAGAATGAGATTCTTAAGTGTGTTTACAATAAACTATTTGAACAATAAAGATACTGGTTCCAGGTTCCTACCTACCTGTTGTTGTGTGCCACTGGGCTGATTCCAACTCACAGTGACCCAATGTGACAGAGTAGAACTGCTCATAGGGTTTTCTAGGCTGAAATCGTCACAGGAGCAGAACGTGAGGACTTTACTCCCACGGAGCAGCTGGTAGGTTTGAACCATCAACCTCTCGGTTAGCGGCTGAGTACTTATACACTGCGCCACCAGGGCTCCTTGGTCCCAGCTACTAGAGATTCTGAATGAGTAGGTGTAGGGTAAAGCCCAGTTTCTTAACCTCCTATTTTGGGCCAGAAAATTCTTTGTCATGGGGGTTGCTGTGTGCACTGCAGGATGTTTAGCAACTTCCCTGGCCTTTACTCACTGGTAGTGGCACAGTGGTTAAAGTGCTCAGCTGCTAACTGAAAGGTCAGCAGTTCAAACTCACCAGCCACTCCACAGGAGAGAGATGAGGCAGTCTGCTTCCGTAAAGATTTACAGCCTTGGAAACCCTATGGGGTCACTATGAGTCAGAATCCACTCCATGCAGTAGGTTTTGGTTAGACGCCAGTAGCAATTCCTGAGTCATGACAATCAAAAATACCTCCACATATTGCCAAATGTCCCTTGGGGGCAAAACTGTCCCCGGATGAGAACCACTGCTTTAAAGTGCTGAATCTTTTGTAACATGAATGCTCTCATAATTTGAAAAAAAAAAAAGATAGTATTGTTCAGGTAAAAATAAAATAAAGCCACGTTCTAAATGAATGAATGAACAAAACAAAAAATTTTAAATGGTAAAAAGTTAAGTTTCCCAAGTGATTCTGACAATCAGTTAGATTTGGGAAACTACCCTTCATTGTGTATCAGAATCATCTAGAAAGCTTTGTTAAAAGTATAGATTCCCAGGTTTTATCCCCGAGGAACCTGAGTAATATGATGAACAGGACTAGGGTGGGCCTGGGAATCCCATTTTCTATTCAACAAGGTTGTCAGTAGGTCACATTTTGTAATACACTAATCTACAGTTACCTAGTGTCTACGTGGAAAGAATAAATCACTACCAAATTCCTCCCAGTGTCTCCTTTCTCAAGTTCCGCATGTGGCTCACTCTGCACCGTGAATGTAGTTGTGTTAACAAATTAACATTATTTAGGCTGATACTATCACATGATAATCTGTGTCCACTTACATCTCAGAGTGCTATGGGGTTGAAGTGCCCTTCCTTTAAAGCCTGCAACATATTGATCTTTCTGGAATATTCTGAAGTTGTCAGCTGATACAGCTTCCTAATCCTCGGGACATGGACAGGAGCATTCAAAGAAAGTCATGCTGATAAAGCCCAGAAGTCCATAGTGTTTGAGGCTGTACTATATCAAATTTTCCATTCAAAGTAGTAATGGATATATGATAAAAGTTTTTAAAATAAACTCTTTTCAAATACTACTTCTAAAAAGAGTCTCAGAAAAATATTTCCTTAAATTGATCATGCTTACTTGAAGAAATAGCAGATTAGAGTATCAGGTGGAAAGATGTGCATGCCTAATATACAATACAACAGATGTGGTTATAAAGCACAATTTCTGATCCTGCTGTAGCTCGGAGGTGGAGAGACTGCCTTCCTTATGCATTGGGAAAGATAAAACTTAAGGCCTCTTGACTTCTCACTTTTTTTAAAGCTTTGGCTTGTTTACATTTTCCTTGTGAAAACATGAAGACAGGCATGTTTTTTTTAATTGTTGGAAAACGAATAAATTTCAAAGTTTAGTAAGAACTTGGAACAGACCCTAATAACATACTCTCAGCAAAATGGTGTTATTTTTTTTCAATCACGACTACTGGCAAAAACCTATCAATGGAAATAAACAGAAATACACCTAGTTCTCACTTATCAACTATCTTGTTACCTGACATTTTGCATTTAAGTCAACAGTAAAAAATATACTGACCATCTTGTGCATTAATGTCATACGTCTGGCAGTAACAAATGCCGAGGTGTGAGGTGAGAGTAACACTGGCTGTGACGGTTATGCGTCAGCTTGGCTGGGCCATGATTCTCAGTGGTCTGGCAGTTATGTAGTGATGTAATCTGGAAGTTATTACATGTAATGATATAATCATCCTCCACTTTTGTGACCTGATGTGGTCATCCTGCATTTTCATATAACATTGATTTCACATAATGACCTGATCTTTGGAACCTAACCATGTCGATAAGTGAGGAGAGGGTGTATAAGACTTACTACACACAGGAAGGCTTTTTATCTAAAGTAGTTGGTTATTTACTTACCTGATCACCACGTTTCAATCCTGCATCTGCAGCTTTGCTACCAGGTTCTACTCCCTCAACAAAAATACCAAATCCCTTTTCACTTCCTCCATTAAGGCTGAAATGCAGAGGGGAATCCCTGGAAGCCTTTTGCAGCACAACTTGTCTCCACTTAGCCTTTGCAGCACAGGCAATATTTAATAACCGGAGATGACCATTCATTTTCTGTAAGCAGAAAATGGTAAAAATGTATATAAATGTATGTATCTATTCCTATAGGCTCTTTTTAGCATCTAAAATTATTAGAATCAGAGTTATATTTGAAAATGTAAACAGCACAGAATAAATAAGCTGGGGTAAAATAAAACTGGGCCAAGAATAAGATCTCGTAATATGATTTTTAAAGACTTCTAGGTAATTACAAGTTAGAAAAGATTTCAAATGATATCTCATACTGAGGGATGACAAAAAATTTCTTATTTAATAAACCTTCCTAACACACACTCTACTCCTATCTTGCTTATCTCCTGGTTGTTCAGAGTCTTTTAAAACTTTAATTCAAAACCTTGAACCTTCTGAACCGCTATCCAAATACTCTCTAATATGCAAAGACACATTCAAGCCTCCACCTCTTCCAAGAAAGACTTCATTATTTTAGGTCTTCCTTAAACTCAAATGTTTTAACTTCCAGGTTCTAGTATCAGTTGACTATTCAATTTTTATTAAATGGTGTATATCTCCGGTTCATAACAAGAAGCTAAAGTTTTTTCAGGGCAAGGACCAAGTCTTAACACTTCTTTTGATCCATCCAAAACCTTGGAGCATAAAGTAGAATTCAATACATACTTAGTGACTGAGTGATTACTGAAAAAAGTCCCATGACTGTAAGGCAATGTCCACATCCCATTAGCTCTTTGAATATCTACACAGCCAGCACTGGAGGCACTAAAAAAATGATGGTGGTGAACAACTATGATCTTTTTATCAAGTTCCCCGTCCCTGTTCATTTTCCCCATTTTGCATAGAGGAGACGTGCTGCTGAGAAGGCTACAGGACCTAGGCGTAAGGAAAAAGGAACCAAATGTAAATTTTTCTCTCTTCCTTCAACTTAATCTGCTTATACTTTATGACTACTAACTATAGTTCTTGAGCATTTGCTATGTGCCAAGTTCTATATTATGTTCATTAGTTCATTATAACCGTCATAACAATTCTAATGAACTAGGGACTACTATCTCTACTGTATAAATAAGGCAACTGTAGCACAAAAACATTAGGCAACTTGTCCAAGCTCACAAATCTAGTAAGTGGTAGAGATCAGATCTTAATTCAGACAATCACACTCCACAGCTGTCCTCTTAAACCACCATGCTGCACTGCTATTTAATGACTTCCTAAAATCTGAAGTTGCTTGGAGCAGACAACCAGTACCAGCTTAAAGTTTTATATCTGGCAAGGAGAATAAAATGGATTCATGAATAGTTATTTTGGAAGTTAAGAGGACCTAGAGAGAATTATCTTAGGTGCTGTATATTAAGAACAGGTGAAATCACGTACAGAAGGGAGACCTAAAAAGTCTTAAAATGTAAAACATGCCTTGAAGACTGCACACCATTTCAAATAGCAGGATTAGGAGAACAGAATGACAGGTTGAGAGAACAGCTTGGTCTAAGATGTAGAACTGGCAGAGTATAAAATAGTCTGGTTTGGCTTCAATCTAGGGTGCACAGGAAAAATGCTGAAAAGGTAGGTAAGGGATCTGAATGTATGGCTGAGGCATTACTCTGGCAGGTTATAAGAGACTAGAATTAAGATCAGCTAGCAGACTAAGGGGAACTGTTTGAGGAAGACCATAAGAAAACATGTGTATGCCTAATCAGTGACCCAGGTGACTTTAGCAACTGACTAGACATCTTGGCCAGGGAATTCAAGGAAAAGTGAGAGGGGTCCACATACAACACCGGGGTTAATAAGACTGTATGACTGATAGAATGACATTGTTAAACAGAAACAGGAGTCAGGAAAAAGCACGATTTCAGGTTTTTGTCTGGGTTGGGGTGGCAGAGGATGAGCGAAGCTCTAGAATATAGGTTTGCAAGTTCTCAGAACAGAGGTTCAAGATACAGGAGAAGATGAAGTCTGTTCTGAGTTGGTGTTCTTGGAGAGAGGCCCTAAACGCTGAAGAAAATAAATTCTTTTGAGCCTTACTGTATCTTCCAGATTCTTTTCAAATTCCTCCAGAAATCGAGTCATAGCAGGATCACCTTCAAAATCATTAAAATGATTATTTACCCATAATAGTACGATTCGTGTCACCTGTGGAAACACGGAGACAGCAGCATAAGGTTATGAGACGCATTTCTTCTGTAAAAGTAGATTCCGAAAGCATGTTCAAAACTTGGAGGGAAGGAGGAGAATCTGAGCTTTACGGCTAAATGCCCTAGCCCAGCCCATGTACGCAAAAGGTTCATTCTAATACAGGCATGGTTTAGTCTGAGTTTTTGCTTGCTTGGGTACACAAATAACAGAAAGAGCCAGGACTCTGTGCATTCAATGAGAAAGTACAAGCCTGTGTTCTAATATGCAAGAAGTACACAGGATGTTTATTTCAGTTTCTTAAAATGTAAGCTTCTAAGGGCATGCAACCATATCAAAGCGTTTCTCTAGATGAAAATATGTTTAACCAAAATTATGATAAAAATAAATCTGAAACTTCCTTTATTACAAATATTGTTAGTGGTGAATCGATTTATTTGCTCCAAAGATTAACAGAAGAGTTAAAAATGAACAAATAGAAGTTGATTTGACTAATGGGCCTAACTAAGAATCTTAAGTAATTTAAGTCAAATATTTTTTATTGTGGTAAAATATACATAACATAAATTCACCATTGTAACCATTTTAAAGTGTACAATTCAGTGGCACTTACTACATTCACAATGTTGTGCAACCATCACCACTATCTAGTTTCAAAACATTTTCATCACTCCAAAAGGAAACTGTGAACTCATTCAGCAGTCACTCGCTAATCCTCCCTCTCTCCACCTCCAGGCAACCACTTATCTGCTTTCCTGTCTCTCTGCCTATTGCAGACACTTCATATAAATGGAATTATACAATATGTGGCCTTTTGTGTCTGTCTACTTTCACTTAGCATGATGTTTTTGAGGTTCATCCAAGTTGTAGCATGTAACAGCATAATGGCTGAATAATATTCCATTGTATGGATATGGAAACCATGGTGGCATAGTGGTTAAGGGCTACGGCTGCTTACCCAATGGCCGGCAGTTCAAATCCACCAGGTGCTCCTTGGAAACTCTATGGGGCAGTTCTACTCTGTCCTATAGGGTCGCTATGAGTTGGAATTGACTCGATGGCAATGGGTTTGGTTTTTGGTTTGTTTGTATGGATATACCACATTTTGTTTATCAATTTATCAGCTGACAGACATTTGGACTGCTTCCATCTTTTGGCTACTGTGAATAGTACTGCTATGAACACTAGTGCAACAATTTGTTTGCGCACCTGTTTTCCATGTCTTTAGGTATATACCTAGGAATGAAAATGCTGGGTCATATAGTAATTCAATGTTTAACTTTTTGAGGAACAGCTGAACTATTTCTACAGCAACCAGAGGGTTCTACATTCCCACCAGCAATGCACAAGGTTTCCAATTTCTCCACATTCTTACCAACACTTGTTATTTTCTCACTGTGGTTTTGATCTGCATTTCCCTAATGAGCATCTTTTAATGTGCGTGTTGGCTATTTGTGTATTTTCTTTGGAGACATGTCTATTCAAGTCCTTTGCCCATTTTTGAATTGGGTTTTTCATCTTTTTGCTGTTGAGATTTAGGAGTTCTTTATATATTCTGGATACTAAACCCTTATCAGATACACAATTTGCATTACTCTCTCACATGTTGCTTTTCACTCTCTTGACAGTATCCTCTGATGCAGAGTTTTTAATTTTGATGAAGTCAAATTTATCTATTTTTTTCTTTTGTTGCTTGTGCTTTTGGTGTCATAGCTAAGAAATCATTACCAAAGTCAGCATGTTTTGGATACTTTAGTCTCCAAAGTAACAGAATTCTATAATCCACCTGCATCTAATTTATTTCCTTTAAAATATAACTCAGAAAGAAACACCAGGCAATTATGGCCTTATTTATTTTCTTAAAATAATTTACTTCCATCAGTTTGCTGAGATATTACTAGTCTTTCCACTAAATAAACAAACATAGACCATGAAATAAGATCTACTTAAAACGGATCTCAATGTTTAATGAAAACAAAAAATACTCAAAGGTTCACTTAAATAAGTCACAGTAGAGATAAATTACGTCTGAAAAATTGTTTTCAAATTATTATAAAGTCTGTATGTAACTCAGAAAAATCAAGATACTTCTATTTTGAAGCTTAAAAATAATCTACGCTCTCTTGTAAAACTCTGTTTTAGTGAATATTCTTTCTAAACTATTAATCAGCATTTAAATGTTTTACTGAGCTCCAGAAACAAACAAATCTTTTGGTAAAGCTCTAAAATCTTCTTATATAATGATCATGTTTCCTGAATTTATAGCTTTATCTCAGTTTTAGCCTATTAAGGCTCATGTCCATTTTTAACATGCTATTTTGCTGTAAGTAATTAAGCACAGATATAAATCTACACTGACTCATTTTTCTGATGAACTGAATTACGTTATAAAAATAAACATTTAATTTACCAACTGCAAAAGGTTTTCTGAATAAAAGTTTAAAGCTTAAAAATCACTTTCATGCCCTTTATATTTATAAAACCAACCTTATCCCTTAAGCTGTCAATTTTAAACCATTCCAACAGTTTGATCCCAACATCCAAAGGACTTTCAAGAAATGTCCTATAAGTTAATAGGAAGTCTTCTATGTAAGTTGGGTCCACAATGGAATGTTCTTCTATTAAATGCATGATGAGACGCTCAGGTGTTGCCTAAAAATCCAAGGATAGAAAGGATTAGGAAATAAACAGCTCAGCAACCAAAGAACTCCTGTTGATTACTCCACTTTGTAGCCACTTCTCAAATTAGAGTTGTCTAAACCCCTCAGATTAGAGTTTCACCTTTAAACTCTTAGCACTGGAAGCAGGTAATCTCCTTAAATTGAAATCCACCAGCACCCAGTGGTTTGGAGAGAGGAAAGGCAGAGGAATAAACACTCAATAGCATTTACTCAGCTGTTTTCACTAGCATCTTATCACACGAAGAATTTTACCGATATTATCCTTAGTGTGGGCTGTTGCTACCACTTCTGCTGCAGTGGGGGCATGTAATGACTGTCCCAAGGCAAAAGAAGGAAGAGGGCAAGAGTTAAACTCAAAAAAAAAAAAAAAAAAAAAAAAAAAGACCTCCTCCAAATTTAATCCACCTCAAACTCTTTTCTGCCTCAGGCTGTAGGACCACATACCAGTTCAAGATAACCTGTTTCACTGCTGCTGCTAGGTCCTAGAACAGAGGTTTTCTCTTCTATGGTTTCTCCATGCTAGTTTACCATCTTCAGAAGAACCAGAAGTTCTAATTTCTATATCAGAGTTTTAACTGCTTGCCCATCTCTAATTTTATGAAAAGGTATGTAAACATTTCCCTACTGCTCCTCTTTGAGCTTCTCAGCCAATGTGAAAATTTATTACCCTTTGCAGGCCTTCCTAAAGTGTGTACAGAGAACAAAATATAGAAACAAACCAGATGTTAAGTCTGTTGTTGTTAGGTGCCATCAAGTTGGTTCCAACTCATAGCAACCCCATGCACAACAGAATGAAACACTGCCCAGTCCTGTGCCATCCTCACAATCTTTGTTATGCTTGAGCCCACTGTTGCAGTCACTGTGTCAATCCATCTTGTTGACGATCTTCCTTTTTTTCCCTGACCCTCTACTTTACCAAGCATGATGTCCTTCTCCAGGGACTGATCCCTCCTGGCAACATGTCCAAAGCATGTGACACACAGTCTCACCATCCTTGCTTCTAAGGAGCATTCTGGCTGTATTTCTTCCAAGACAGATTTATTAGTTCTTTTGGCAGTCCATGGTATGTTGTTCATAATTCCAAATTTCAATTTGTTGTATTCATCCAAACAATCATTATTCAGAGTAACTACATGGTAAAAACTAACAGTGTTTTTATCTAAGATTGTTTTTTTTAAAGATATCTGTTGCTAAATCATGTGAATATCATTTCTCTAGGAGAAAGTCAGAAACAAGGCTCTTCATATTGTCTACTTTAGGGTGAAGATGACCACAGGTCACTCCTATTCATTTCCCACTTTAAACCTAAAAATACCAAATTGGGTATATCATTCAGGCCACTCATAGTTTGGGGTTGCTTAAATCTGGTTCTTAGATGAACTACAGTTAAGTCAGAGCTGGGAACTGATCAACATCTTAAAGATAGGACATTTATTCTGACTGGCTAAATCACTGAAGAAGAGTTCCTGCCAAGACTACCATCCAGAAACATGGTATGCTTGAAAGAGGGCAGTGTTTAGAGGTGGCAGGTAGAGAAGATGGCTGGCATGGTAAAGACTGGTTACAATGAACAAATAAGTAAATATCCTGAGCATAAAGAGAGCCACTGTTGGAGAAGGCATTTACAAACAAGAAAAGACTAAAAAAACCCTGTGGTATAAGATTGGAATCGGAAGTACTGATAGGAACTCATCATTGTTTAATATACATAGAAAGTTAAAGATGTGTTATGTATTTATAATACATACATTTGTCTGATGAGAGGCTCTAGAAGCAATGACATCTTAGCAGCAATGAATATACTGAGTGTCCAGATTTTGGTTTTCAAATACTATCCTTTATAAAAGGACTACGGCCTTCTGGATGGAGAAATGGCTGATTACAAGGGCTGGAACAGGAAAAACACAAGATGAGCCTGGAACATCTTGTTTTACTAGAGAGTAAAGAAGTGTTCCAAGAATGATGGAGGTATGTCAAAAGGATACAGGAGCCAGCATGAAGAAGGTCCCACTGGCCAAATTTGGGGCAATTTAAGCATCAAAATAATACCCACACAGTAAGGGAATACAACACATGAGTCCATATCAATATAAATAAATTGGAGGAGAAGAGAAAGCTCTTCTTTATGGTAGAATAATTAAGAAATGTAGAAATAACCAAAATTGAAAAGCACCATCTGAGACGGAGTAGTCAATGGAAGTAAAGACTGGCAGGATATTGCAACTATCTCAGAACATCTCTCTACCAGATATTTATCAATTACAAAGAATAAAATGGTGACTTTACAGTGAAGAAACCTGGCAGATAGATACCAACATGACCAGGTATCAAGGTTAACTTCACTAGTGATGAGACAGGTCGACACTGTGTGCCCCTGATATGATGCACTGCAAGGAACAGGCTTCATTTCTATGGAATTCCTGCTAGGAAAGAATGACTTGAGTCTGGTCATGAGGAAACACTGGAGAGATCCAAGTTAAGGGTCATTCTAAAGAATATAAGGTCTGTATTCTTTAAAACTACTGAGGATATGAACAATACAGAAAGATCGAGGAACTGTTCTAGACTGGAATAAAGGGAAGTGACATAACAACTAAATGCAACCCATGTTCCTGGATGAGTTCCTGGACCAGAAAGGAAAAAGAGACATTGCTGGGACAGTTGGTGAAATATAAACAGGGTCTGTGGGCTCACTGGTTTTGTTTTATCTATGTTCACTTCCTAACTTGATGGGTTCTATGGTAATTATGAAGGAGTGTGTTTGTTTTTAGGAAACGCACACTGGAATATTTAGGAGCGATGAGGTATCACATCTACAGTTTGCCTTCAAATGGTTCAGAAAAAGACTGATGATAATGAAGTAAATGCAGTGAAATGTTAACAGCTGGGGAATCTGGATGAGGGAGCTCTCTGTACTACTGCTACAACTTTTTTGTAAGTAATAAAAATAAACTATTAAAAGCATAAGCCTCTGTAAAAATACAAAATAAGTTAAAAAGTATATCCATTAGCCTATGGCAGTCCATCCATATGCTCATCTTTTCTAAAAAGCTTGCACTTATCAGCTCAGGAAAAGAAAGAGACAGCTTTGAGAAATAGCCTGACTCCTGTTCAGGATGAACAGACTGGACATCGGACTCAGATCATCTCTCTGACTTATCTCTTCATATTATTAAATAAACTGCTGCATTTGTAATTAATAATGACACTTTTATTATTTTGCAATCAAGACAAGCTTGAAAAGGGAAATAGTCATGCATCCATTTCCTCTCTTTCAACTATAATTGGCCTATTTTACATCTAGAGGATTTTAAAGAGGGAAGAGGGAAGAAAGGCAATGGGGGAAGAGGAAGGAGTTAGAGAAGGAAAAACCAGATGGGGATTAATACTCAGACTGCAGCATGCTAAGGCTTTGATTTACCTCACTTAGCCCTTCTAAGGTGCCTGATGCCCCAGTGGGTAAGAGCTAGGGCTGCAAACCAAAAGGTCAGCAGTTCGAATCTACCAGCTGCTCCTTGGAAACCCTATGGGGCAGTTCTACTCTGTAGGGCTGTGGTGTCGCAGTGGTTAAGTGTCTGGCTGCTAACCAAACAGTGGGCAGTTCGGAGTCCACCAGCTGCTCCTTGGAAACCATCTACTCTGACCTATAGGGTTACTATGAGTCAGAATCAACTAGACGGCAATGGGTAGCCCTTATAAAACACTGTTCTATCACCGTCCTTTTCAGATAAGGAAAGTAAGGCTGAGAGAAGTCAACTCCTATTTCAGTGCCATAGAGATCTATCCAGCAAGCACTGGGCATCTTCTCCTAGGATTCATTATGCCTTATGGCTGGTCCCTGCATTTTCTGTTTTGTTTCAAAACATTGCTAGCTTTGATGAAATTAACTCCAGTTATCAATGGATCATAAAATAAATTTGAGAATGAAAGCCTTGACCAGTATAGTCTAAAATAATATCCTACCCATACTGATATTAAATGGCAATAAGTTTCCTTTCATTATAAAAATGTATAAGAACCAACTAAAAAAAGGAAAACGAGCCAACACATTTATTTGAATTGTCTCACACTACTCAAAAAGTAGTTCAAAGTCTTTTAAGCAAATGAAAACTTTATCAGTGACCAGAATAAGTAAAAACCACTCACCTTGATTACAATGTGTCCTTTTCTGGTTCCACTCCGGTCTAGTTCTCGGTGCTCATGCACCATAACAATCTCTCCCTCTTCTTCAACTTTATGAGTATTTTTTTCCACGTGATTTAAAATTCTCCAATAATCCTGCTGAGCTATGCAGACGAACTGTCCAAGAACAACATGGGGACAATTAATGAACCTGTAGTACATAAATACATCACTACGCACCAAGGCAGAGCACAAAGGTAAGAAATCAAGTGGCATGAGTTCTTTTTCATTCGATCCCTTTAGTCCTTAACAAAAAAAAGAGGTGAATTAAGTAATTCACGCACAGAGTAAAGAAGTCAAATCTGTTTTGAATTCTGCTGTAAAAGGAGAAGTGAATATCTACTTCTCTCAAAACTGACACTATGCAAAGAAAACACGAAACAGGAGTAAGTTAGAAACAAATAAACCAGGAGTTCCTATTTCTTTCCTTTATTTATTTTTTTAAAAAAAGACTGAGCTGGCTAGTAGACAGAAATGTAACAAACCAACATCTTTTTGGCATATTCTCTTTTATACATACATCTCTCTACCAGACAGTTTACTCAATTCCAAAAATATCTGAGGTGGAAATAACATCTAATTTCCTTTATTAACTGACAGCTTTTGAAACTCCCAATTCTCCAAATAAAGCTGTTTTATTTTGAGGAAGAAAAAACAGGCTTGGCCATTTTTAATCAACAAACAAGAGTACTTACTTGACCAACAAAGAAATAAGCTTACCTGACAATCATCTACTTTAGTCCTGACAACTCCATGCATGTACTGCTTATCCAGAGAGGGAGTAATTCCAAAACTATTTCCCATAAAGAGATTTTCAATTTTTCCATCTGGATGACTGATTTCTACAGTGCCGTTTAAAATAACATACCATGAGTCAAGCTAGAGAGAAAAACAAACGTTCAAAGAATTTTTTTACAAAGTTATATATTAACTTTAAAAAAGGACCTACCAATATATATTACTTGTATAACTTAAAAAAAAAGGGAAGATCTGATATTACTAAATACTGTCAATAACATAGTATGCTTTGTGCAAATCACTAAAGCTTATTTTACCCTTTGGGCCTCAGTTTCCTTACTGCTAAAATGGGTGTAATAACAAGAACTACTTTGTTAATTAAATGAGTTAATACATACTAAATTCTTAGAAGAGTGCCTGGCAAAAGGGTAGCTAATGATTAATTCAGAAAAGCCAGTAAAAGCCTGAATTTTAAGGCATATCTAACAAAATAAAACATTCAAAATCTCTCTTAATGCTAAGAAAACATTAACTCCATTTATGTGGAGGTACGTTTTAAAGGTCTACTGTGTTATCAGTGGAGCCTTGGTGGCACAGTGGTTAAGAGCTTGGCTGCTAACCAAAAGGTTGGCAGTTCGAATCCACCAGCTACTCCTTGGAAACACTATGGGGCAGTTCTACTCTGTCCTATAGGGTCCCTATGAGTCACAATCGACTGACTGGATGGCAACAGGTTTGGTTTTGGGTTTTTGTGTATCAATGAAAGATCACTTATTTTCCGTTAGTAGCCAACTCATTTTATTAGCTTAAACACAGAACAGCTGTTTTATGTGAGTTAAAGGAGATCTTTATTGTCAGTTCTAAAGGAAATCAGTGGCAACAAGAAATTTTTTTTTCAAAAGTGCATTTTTTTATCAATAAACCAAAAAAACCCCAAAAACCACCACTAACGCTGAGTAGATTCTGACTCAAAGCGACGCTACAGGACACAGTACAACTGCCCCATTAGGTTTCCAAGGCTGTAAATCTTTACAGAAGCAGACTGCCACATCTTTCTCCCGTGGAGCGGCTGGTAGGTTCAAACCGTCGATCTTTTGGTTACGGCCGAGTGCTTTAACTACTGCACCACGAGGGCTCTTTTTTTTTTTTTTGTTAATACAAATATAAAATACACCCATATTGGGGTGTTGTGGATTACATAAGCTACTCTAGGCCCGAGACTGTCTGCTTGCTTTCGCCACTGTATCCTTGTACCTAGAACAGTACCTGGCACAAAGCAGTCAATAAATTTTTGCCGACAGGACTGTGAATAATTAAGAGAAAACAAAAATTTGTGGGAAAGAAAATAAGTTAAAAGTTTGGTTTATTTCTCTCTCATGTATGTATCATTTTGTATTGCTGAAACATTTAGACTATCCTGACATAAAAAAAAATTTAATACATGTACATTTATTTGTTCATCAAAAACATTTTTTTGAGCATATCCTACGTGCCAGATATTTTCTAGGATGTGGGGAGAAGGTATTAAAAAGCAAAGCGTGAGGCAATGTCCCTGCCCTCAAAGAACTTTCATCAAGTATATCTAATTTTTCCCAATTTGATAAGAAATATAGTGAAAATTTCCTAACAGCAACCATACCTTTCCATCCCTCTGCATTCTCTCTCCACCTATCCAACAAGTCGACATCCAAGCATTTTTGAACAAAGAATTGCCACATTAACGCCTCAACTGGCAGCAGTTCACTAGGAGGCACTAGTTCCAATAAATTTTTCTCATTTTTTTTTAATGTGTAATATAAAAAAGGAATAGGGCAAGCGAGTAAATACTTGATAAACATTTTTAACAATGATAATGATATAAACATACAAACAGTAAAAATTAATAATAAACCCTCTTACAACCTAATTTGAGAAGTAAAAATAAATTAATATTATTATTCATTGAGCACTTATTCTGTGTAAGGTCCACTGCTAGAAAATCAAAACTAAGGTAAAGCAAAGGAAAGGAAGGAAAGCAAACAAAACAAAAAACTTTGTCTCTTCAGATATCCCAACTACCCTAAACTCAGCACTCATTTAAAAAATTGTACAAATTTCAAAAGTCAGGATTTATGCAAGTTTCTGGAAAGTAAAGTACTCTACAATTAGTTTCCATATTAGATAATGTGAAACATTTATTTGCTAACCTACCTCTTCCCCATCTTCAAGAATAATAGCTCCAGCCTGCTCTACCACTTCAAAGATCATCACTGAGCAGAGTTCTCTCCTTACAGACATGGTCATGTTTGCAAAAGCAGGGAGCTGATGCATAAACTCCAATAATTGTTCTGTAAGAAAAAAGAAATTCTAGTATAAAGACAACCAAGGGACACATATACTTTAATGCTACAGTAAGACCTAGAATTCAATACTTAACTTCCTAATCAACTTCAGAATGTATGCTATTACTGTAGAGAAACTAGTACAATATGACAGGTGATTTTAAAAATTAGTGATATGGTTTATACATATATTCAACCTCACATATAAATATGGGTATAATGGAAGTTATCAGAATTCCATAACCTCCAAAGAGAACCAGGAAACTACTCAGATGAGGATGAAGGGCTTATCTAGTTTTCCTAGCCTGAGATGTTACTCCATGGTGGTTAAGTTCAAATGCTCTTTGATCTAATAGATTAGTAAAAAAGCCTTTTAGTCTAGTTCTTAGAGGGCTAGAGTTAAAAAAAAAAAAAAAAAATCCTATTAATAAATGTCAATAAGTAAGTAATTAAATTACGGATAACAAACACGAATTAGATCTCAAGATTCTTCAAAGCGACTATAAAGTAACCCTTTTTAATTTAACCAGCAAATATTTATGGGTGTCTACCTTAGGTCATTCGCTGGGGTATATACCTAAGCAGTAAAGGTAAATATATGGATCTAAAAAAACCAAAACCAAACAGCTTTCGAGTTGATTCCAACTCATGGTGACTCCATAGGACAGAGAAGAACTGCCCCATAGGGTTTCCAAGGTTGAAAATCTTTGTGGAAGCAGACTGCCACGTCTTTCTCCTGTAGAGTGGCTAGTGGGTTTGAACCACTGACTTTTCAGTTAGCAGCCAAGAGCTTTAATCACTGCACCACCATATTTCAACCATGGGCTGAAATAGATGAGTATAAGGAGCTACCTACCCATAATTGGGAGCTAGTTATATTTCAATTTTTTAAAAGCTTTGTGAAAATAGCATAGTACACAATTCTTTATCATTAAAAATGCACTTTCCATTTCTATCTACACAGCATAGCAATATATAATGATACTCAGTAATCTCTGTTCCTTAAAGAATATATTAGCATCCTTAGCATCATTTGACATCAACAAAAGTATAGTAATTAGTTCTACAAGAAATTGTATAAAGGAAAATTTATAAAGTCTTAATCAAAAATTTTAAAAATATATGTTCAAGATAGGGCAATAAAAATATAATTTTTGACATAATTTGAAATAAAGAAAGCTACTTCATAGACATTGGATACTGCTGTAGTGAATTTTAGATGTCTTACAGACATGGAGGGAAAAATCAATTTAATGCAATCAAACCTTTGTTTTATAGATTGTGCAGCCAGCCTGTAAGTGCCCATCAATGACTTCTGTCTCTTAATATTCATGTTCTCATGTATTCCCCTTCTGAAATATATCAGGGTTGTTCTGTGTGACATAACAATAGTGGAAGTGATTATATGTCACTCCCGAGGCTAGATCCTAAGATACTGTGTCATCTGCCTTGTTTTCTCTTAGATTACTTTGCTTTAGGGGGTAGTCAACTGCCATGTTGTAAGGACATTTAGGTAGCCTATGGAGAGACCCACATGGCAAGGAATGTCTTGTGCCAAAAGCCCGGTGAACAGCAATCCTGGAAGTAGACCCTCCAGCCCAGTCACAGATGACTGCAGCTCCTGCTCATATTCTGACTACAACCTCCTGAGACACCCCAAGACAGAACCACCTGGCTAATCCACTCATAAATTTTTGACTCACAAAAACTGCAAGATAATAAATGTTTGCTATTTCATAAGTTTTGGAATTATCTGTTACACAGCAATAAATAATTAATACATAAATTAAGCTATAAAATTCTTATTGTAAACAGATACATTTCTTACCAATGTCATCATCAGTTTTGTCTGCAGGTTCTTTTTCAAGACACTCTCGAACAAGATCTCGACCCTGCAATGGATCTGTTCGATCAATCTCTTCATCTTCCTCTTCCTCATCCTCAGAATCAACAGGTCCTTCTGGAAGACGTGTCAAATCTACATCTCCTACCTCACTCTCTGTAGCCTACAGAAAAAAATTTGTTCACTCATCATTTCATGCTCTGACAACTGTGTGTCCAGTCTGAATTAAAACGGACCCACCCAGAGGCTCCCCAGAAAAAAGGCCTGGAGATCTGCTTTTGAAAGGCTGCAACCACGAAAACTCTATGAGGTGAAGTTCTACTCTGACACACATGGGGTTGCCATGAGTTGGAATCAACCTGACAGCAACCGGTGTTAATTTTTTTTGTTTACCCCTCCTTAACAAATATTAGAAAGAATTAGGCTATGTTGTATGCTGTATAAAAAATACAATGAAATTATATTTATTTATAAAAGGTTTCTCTCTGCCCAAAATACAGGTTCATTATTCCAATTCAGTTATGTTTACAATAGAAAAGACTTATTATCATCTGCATAAGAAGGGAAGACATTTAAGAAAAACAGATCTTTAGGGAGAATGGAGATCATGGTTAGGAATAGAAAAAGGTGGCTACTATGAGGACTATTTTAGGCACCTTTTAAGGCAAACTGCTAAGGAAAGAATATAGTCTATCCTTACAACTGCCTTCTTTTTTTAAAAAAATTTCATTGTGGTGAAATGTGTAACAAGACACTTCAAGCATTTTTAAGTGTACAATTCAGTGACAGTAATTACATTACCATGTTGTGCAACATTCACCACTATCTATCTCCAAAACTTTTCATCACTCTTAACAAAAACTCTACTGCTTAAGTGATATCCTCACAATTGCCTTCTTATAAAGTAGGATTAAAAAGGAAAAAAATGAATAAAATTAACAGAAAATATTAAAGAGTTAAAATGTTGAGTATACAAAAGGGATAAGATGACAGTAAGAATTAAAATTAAAAATTAAGAAAGACTGGCCAAAAATATGCTAGGAAATTAATTTTTTTCATTTAAATAAAGAAGAAAAAAGAAAAAGAGCTATGCAGAGTCCAAAGTCTAATTCCTTGATTAAAAAAAGGCAAACCAACCAGGTCCTTTATGTCCAGCATAAAATAAAAACTTACTAGACACGTGAAGAAGTAGGGAAATTTGGCCCACAACCAGGAGAAACATCAATCAATAGAAAGAGATCCAGAAACAACGGAATTAGGAGACAAGAACTTTTCAACAGTTATAAAAGAAAACACAAACATCGTTAAGGGACAGACAGGAAATTTCAATATAGAAATATAAACTATAGAAAAAGATGAATGAACTTGAAGGGCAATAAAAACTACCAAACTGAGCAAAGAGAAAAAAAGTGGAAAAAAATTTTAACAAAGGCTCAGAGACTTGTATGATAATATCAAGAATTGGTACCAAAAATGTGGGTCTAAAGTTACTCAACATTCATTAAAGTAGGAGGCACAGAAAATCTGAACCCTGACCTTCCAATTCCTTTACTCTAGTACCTAGAATACAGCAGGTTCTCAGAAAGATTATGATAAATGAATTAAGTCCACAGAAAAAAAGTATTTTGGTGAAAAAGCCAATAAGACAAAAGTAATAAAGCATTAAACTTCTCACGCTTTTCCTTCTCTGCGGTAAGAGTGTGTCTCTGCGTATATGTGTAAATACAATTTGGTGGGGCAGAAGTCTGAAGTGATTTTCAGCCTTCCCCAAATAAATCACCAAAGGATATCCTTTTCCTGTTTGTATCTAGCTAAAACATGAAACTACAATGAGTGTTACTACAGGTTGGAATTGAGAGACAGACAAACTTACAAAGACCACATTTTCATATTTAGAGCAAATGTTAAGCCAGAATCTTGAATTTTCAGTGCTTCTCCTTTCTGCATCTCTATTTTTAGCATTTTATTAAGTATTTTTCATGGACCATTTAGTCCTCATGTTTCCTCTTTGTTTCTCTGGTCAGGGCAAGAACCCTGTGAAGTTATACTGTCCAGGCTGGTCTTTTTTTTTTATTGTTGTGCTTTAAGTGAAAGTTTACAATTCAAGTTAGTCTCTCATACAAAAAATCTATACATACATTGTTATGTGACCCTAGTTGCTCTCCGTATACTGTGACAGCACACTCCTCCTTTCCATCCCATATTTCCCGTGTCCATTCAATCAGCTCTCTGCCTTCTCATCTAGCGTCTGGACAGGAGCTGCCCATTTAGTCTCTTATATCTACCTGAGCTAAAAAGCACACTCTTCACAAGTATCATTTTTATGTCCCATAGTCCAGTCTAATCTTTGTCTGAAGAATTGGCCTCGGGAATGGTTTTAGTTTTGGGCTAACAGAGAGTCTAGGGGCCATGTCTTTCTGGGTCCCTCCAGTCTCAATCTAACCATTAAGTCTGGTCTTTTTACTAGAATTTGAGTTTGGCACCCCACTTTTCTCCTGCTCCGTCCGGGCGGGACTCTCTGTTGTGTTCCCTGTCAGGGCGATCATTGGTGGTAGCCACGCACCATCTAGTTCTTCTGGTCTCAGGTTGATGAAGTCTCTGGTTTATGCAGCCCTTTCTGTCTCTTGGGCTAATACTTTCCCTGTGTCTTCATCCTCCTTTACTCCAGGTGGGATGGGACCAATTGATGCATCTTAGATGGCCACTCGCTAGCTTTTAAGACCCCAGACACCACTCACCAAAGTAGGACACAGAACATTTTCTTAATAAACTTTGTTATGCCACTTGACCTAGATGTCCCCTGAAACCATGGTCCCCAGACCCCTACCCCTGCTACTCTGCCCCTCGAAGTGTTTGGTTGTATTCAGGAAACTTCTTAGCTTTGGTTTAGTCCAGTTGTGCTGATTTCCCCTGTAGTGTGTGTTGTCCTTCCCTTCACCTAAGATAATTCTTGTCTACTATCTAGTTAGCGAATACCCCTCTCCCTCCCTCCCCGCCTCGTAACCATCAAAGAATGTTTTCTTCTGTGTTTAAACCTTTTCTTGAGTTCTTATAATAGTGGTCTTATTCAATATTTGTCCTTTTGCGACTAAATTCACTCAGCATAATCAGGCTGGCCTATTTTATAATCTCCACAAGAGGGCAGGCAGGCAAAGTAAAGCCTCTACTGCCCGAAATAATGAAGCTTTAGTTAGCAGAGATCTTCTGCTTTTTCACAGGAGAACAATTTTGGTTTCTACTTTCAAATGCAATTCAATTAAAAAACAAAAAACAAAAAACATAGATTACTTCCTAGGTGCTAACACTATGCTTGACTCATCATGGGATACAAAAGTAAGATACAAACTCGGCCCTCTACATATTTATTCTGATAATAAAAAGAGTCAAGTTTACAAGTAACTACAATAAAAAGCAGAATGGAAAAAGTGACATGACCCACAGAAAAACTGCTGTGGGTTTCTGTTGCTCCAGGCTAACAGAGACCAATTGTTGTGCCTTGCAAGCTTTTAAGACCCTAGGAACTACACAATGAACTGGGAAGTAGAACAGAGGCACTAATTGCTGTGGAGTTCTAAGGAAGGGTCATCTTATCCTGTTGGAAAAAAGTAGGAGATAATGTAAAAATGTTGACAAGGTGGAACTACAGGCAGAATAGCATGAGCAAAACACAGAGCTAGGAAAAGACAAAAGTGTTCAGCAGACAGCATGTTTATGTGTCACGGACCAGAATGTAGAGTCTACAAGTGGGGGAGTAATGGAATATAAAACTAGATTGGCAATAGTGGTTAGAAGTGAAAGGTTTGAAATTTGGAGTGAAAGTGTAGATTAGATAACTGTGAAGCAATGAAGTTTTTAAAATAGAGGAGTAATTAAAATGACAGCATTCTTGCAACTTATTTCAAGTACGAGTCAAAAAAATGAGATTAGTCAAAGATAACTAGGTTTTCACTAAGACACAGTTGATATTCTTAACAGAAATATTAAAGACAGGTAGAAGAGAACATGTGGTGGAGCAAAGGTAGTTGAGGTGTCAGAAGGACATTCAGGTAGAAATGTGGAATCAGAGTTTTGGAGAAACTGGCACTACAGCTGTGAATTATAATCACGTTACCACCCAGACAGTAACTGAAGCCTTGGGATTTTTAAGATTGGCCAACTCACATCTCTTTTCCAGGAAGACATTTACTTCCTACACATAAACAAAAAAAGATACATGGGGGTGAATGTGTGCCTCAGGTTATTTAAAAATGAGTTAATGAAAACACACTGTAATTTTGCTTTTGTTCAAAAGTCAACAGTTCACAATTTTTCAGCTCTTGGAAATAATCAAAATAGAAAAAAAAATCTAAAATGTATAGGCAGTCTTATTCTCTCATGTATTCTTTAAGACATATAAAATATTCTATCCAAGAACACTTTAACATGTTAATGAACGGTTTTAGCTAATTTTGAAGCTAATCTTATTAGAAATATTCACAGTGGAACCATTACTTGCATTTTCCCTCCCCAAACTGTGGTAAATGAAGTTTCTTTGAGAGCCAAGGGCTTTTATTTTTAAACTAGAAGACATGAAAACTCACAAGAAGGAAATGCATGAAAGCACAGCCACACACTCGGCTATATAAAATGGTGTAAACTGTTTTTCTGTTAAGTACTGCTGTTAGAATGTCTCTTTCTTTCTCCCCTAACCCTCCAAATAAAAAATACTTGCATCATTTCTCAAGGCACTGCTATATTGTTACAGATTATTTTGGGTTAGGGGTTCACTGTTAAGATCTCTCAAGGGTTGAAATGCAGATAACCAGACAAATCACTTCCACTGTTGCTGACGAAGGTATATACATTGGCAATTTAAATACAAGTATACTTATAATTAAAGGGTGTATTGGTAGCTTTAATATGTATTCCAAAGATAGCCTGAGGTCAAGGGAAAGACCAAGGGCTTGACTCTAAGCCATCTTCTTCCCTTTGTTTTAGCCTTGAGACTCTGAGTGGAAACAACCACAATTTGGTTGGTAATATTATTTACCTTATCCATGGATTTTTTTTTTTTTTTTTAAATCTGAGGACTAGAAACCCGGCATTTTGGGGTGTATATTTTATCAGTCTGACTATTATTATTCTGTTCCTCTTCCTTCTGCCTTTTTAGTATATTATTTTTTA